ATAGCAATAATTATGTTATGTCTAAAGTTTCGTGATTTCCAAATGTCACATGATCATATCTGTCCCTAAGATCTGTCCGTAGATCCTCCGCCCTGGTGCGCCAACAAAATTTCACAGTCATGTGATTGATCTACCAAATCGACCAATCAAAAACTCAAATCTATGTATTGTATAACTATATGCGCAGCGCTGGGGTGTTCGATGCACTATGTAAATCAAATTAATGTATAGTCTCATAGTAAAAATAAATAGTAAATTTTTTTGTGTAATGAAGACAACGATTTATAATAAAAAACTCAAATTTTAGCGAAGTTTTATCGAATTTATTACGTATTTATCATTTTTTTAAAAAAGCGCTCTATTTTTCTAAAATATAAGGTCTGCAGAGCAATTGTGTGAAATTTTTAAAGAAGTTAATATGTAAATTATTGAGGAGATACGGTTTAAATTTTAGTAACTTTTTATAATAATTTTATAAGAAACTGTTGATTTTCAAACCGCATCTCCTCAATAATTTACATATTAACTTCCTTAAAAATTTTACTCAAATGCTTTGCAGACCTTATATTTTAGAAAAATAGAGCGCTTTTTCAAAAAAAAATTTTTTAATTAAAAATTTATTTAATTTCAAAAACTTTCAATATTAGTTATACGAATTTATGGGTCAAGTTGCATTTCTCGACATCATGCGGGTAGAAATTTACTAACAATACAGTATATACCTGCAGCTAATTAAACGCTATGTAACTCTAACCCTATGTGATGCTGGATATTGGCTGTAGAGGAAATGATATCGGGAAATGGGTAATTACGATACTTTCTTTAAAAATCGATGCCTTCACTTACCATCATTTGTATCACAATTAATTTATAATGAATGATCAAGCCACCTTAACGAATATTAAAGTGTATAAATCAAGCCACTCTAACGAATATTAAAGTGTATAAACAGAAATATTTCAAGAATTTTGTATAGTAAATAAAAATTACTTTTTTTATTAATATTAAAATTTTATATGATATTTTAGAAATCAATTCTGTTGAAAATCCTGGTTATTTCAGAATTATGTAAAAGCAACACCTAAATATTTAATATTGTGATTTAATTAAAAAAAAAAAATCGGCAATTCAAAATGCTTAATTGTTTATACCATTATCCAAGCGTTCGCTATGCTCTTTCCGGTGTTGATCCCTGTTGATCTGAACCAATTGATTCCCATCGGTCTTAACAAATTAATCTCGGACCAATTCAAGTTTTTGATCCTTTTCCGTATATTTAGATCCATTGGCTCGTTCGTTGACTGCTCTTCAATACTGCCAAGCCAACTTGATTTCTTCTCTTTTTTCTTTTGAAGATAAGATTTATGTGCCTTTGAATGAGAATCATGTGCACAATAGCGTCTTGGTGGCATTTCGAGATAAAAGATGCGAAAAATTAGTTATATCATAGAGGCGAAATACTATGTAATAAAATAACTTCAAATGTATCATCACGATATAAAGTTATTTGAAAGATGTGGTTTAATCAATAATAAATATTATTATAAATAAGCACACATATATTAATTATTTAAATATCAGATAATCCTTTTGTTCAATTTCTTTTATTAAAATTATCAAATAAAATTACATGTTTGCAAGAATTTTTACAAAAAACAACTAGCATTGTCAAATTTACATACTAACACATCAATGCATAATCAAATTCATATACGCTAAAAAAATAATGCATGAAAACTCGAACAAAAGCCAATTACCCAAAACCGTAATAGTCAAATTTTAATATCATCAAAAATTGATGCATAAAAACTTAAAACAAAGGTCAATTACCTAAAACTGTATAGTTGAATTGGACGTTATTTAAAGAACTGATGCATAAAAACTCAAAAAGAACAATTATCCAAAGCCGTATTAGCTAAATTGATGCATAAAAAACTCGAACAAAAGGCAATAATCCGAAACCGTATTAGTTGAATTTTGATTTTGAATTCATGTATTTTAAAATCTGATGCTTCAATTAAAAAAAAGCATTTATTCATGCGAATGATTATGCATTTAAATAATAAACAAAAATGTGATTAGTTTACCAACCTTACCAACTGATTGGCCGAATTCGGTTATTGTCTTGTTTATCGTTTTATTGGATAATTTGTTTATTGTCTTCTTGATAACTTAGTCATCGATCTGTATGGTCGTTTAAATATAATTAAAGATAATAGTTATTGTCTAATTAAACGCATCTACTAAAATAATTAAGAAATTATTGTATCTTACCAACTGTCGCAAATAATCGTATTATATTCAAATCAGATTTTTTATCTCAAGTTTGAGCTTTGTTAAAAATTAAATAAAAGCAATGTGGGAATCATGAAATCGTAAAATTGATAAATCCTTTTTTTTTGTTAAAACTAAATAAAGTCATTACTTTTGAAAATTGTAAAATCGATAAATCTATTCTTTTTTTTTGTTGTTAAATATGCCAAAATCATCAAAGCAAAAATGCCATTTAAAGTACGCGAGATCTCAACGAGATCAAATTCAACAAATTTATAAAATCATACCTCAAATTGATCCTAAATCTCTTCCACAAACACATAAAATTCTTACTAACGTCATGAATCATGAAAAAGAAGAGGAGATATTTCAAACAATTCGTGAAATGCCGGAATCACAAAAAATGAATGCATTAAAGTTGCCTGAATTAATGCGAAATCATAAAGGAAAATATAAAAATGAAATAATTTCGGTTTATCACCAGAAGAAAGCTCTTGAATTTATAACAGATACCGGTAATCGTAAAAATTATAAGACTGAAAATGCAAATCTAAAATCGGTAAACTGAAAACTATCAAAGGATAATCAGAATCTAATGTGTAAGGTTCAGTCTGTAAGCACTTCAAATCGGCATCTCAAAAATAAAGTGGAAAAGTGGGTTTCAACTATAAGGTCATTAATACGTAAACGAAAACAATTAACTCATCAAGAATTTAAGAATCAAATTAATGCAATTTTTAAAACAAATAATAATGAATATTCACCAAAAATGGTTTGGCTTTCCACCAAAATTTCGCAAATCGGACAAACATCATTAACTGCCGCTGTGGGATCATTGCACCTTGTCTACGAATTTTTGATAGGTGAACCTCCTCAAGAATGGTTATCAAAATCTACATTAAGCATTTAGCATAAAGAAGTCTCACAAATTGAAACTGAATCAATGATAAATCAAGTTACCCAATGCTCACGATTTGGAATTCTTTGTGATGAATCAACTTGTGGAGAAGTTAAGAATTTCGTTATATGTATAATGTTCTGGAACTATGAAACTAATATGCCGTCAGTTGCTGTAACCAACCTTGAACATTTACAAAAATGCACCAGCCAGACTATAGCAGAAAACGTTCTTACTGCGATTATAAACCATGGTCTTGATCCTAAAAATTGTTTAGCTTGGGTAACTGACAACACATCTTATATGTCAGGTAGCCAATGAGGTGCAATAGTTCAATTCAACAAAAAAATAAATATAAATACAGTACGGATTGGCTGTGGAATGCACATAATGCATATTGTCCTAACACATTTCGAAGAAGAGGCGTTTGGAAAATCACCTTCATCGATTAGATTTTCAAGAAACCCACAGCCATATAATTTATTATACCTAGCATGGTTTTTACATGATGGGCATAATTCGAGCAACAGAGGCAAGCCGCTTAATATGAAATCAGAGTATATTCAAAAATTATATGATGAACTACTAGGATTCCATTTCTCGCAGTACTAATTACCAATTAGGGGATGGTGAGGTTATGAACTACGTACTGCTAAACAATTTTTAGAACGGCGTGATGCACACTTAGAATTTGCAAATTGGTTCATCAAAACACTCGAAAATAATCATGATACACCGGTATCATATCTTTCGGATTGAAAATTATTTAGAGAATGGCTTCTAAATAAAAAATTAAATATTCAGATTCAGTGTTTAGTCAAGTTCGGGGAGTACTTTTACGAACCACTAATGCAATTTATGGTTGGAAAGGACCCAATACCTCGTATCAAATTAGATGATCATTTGATCCAACTTCCATCTGGTCATCGTGCTCATGAAATGCCTGATAAGGTTAATGAGTGGATTAGTTTTTTGTATGATCTTAAAGAAAATTTTGAAACATTTTTTGTGGATGAACTGATAACGGCATTAGAAATCCTAAATGATGATGACTTTAGTAAGCTTTTTGATAGTTTAGAACGAGATATTAATAAGGCATATGAACATTTTTTAAAATGGATATCACCATGGATACATTTACCACTATCAATTTGCCGTTTGGGTGAAAATTCTGGCCATGAGTTTGCACGAGCATTTTACCACGTTGTTTTAGAACCATAATGGTCTTCAGAACCAACAGAGTGTGAGATAAAATTAGTACAACAATTACGTGAAGATTTTGAGACAACTGATAATACTTTCGGCCTTCAAGAAGAATTGTTAAATTGTCCAGAATTTAAAAACGAGTTTTGAGAATTCGGTTTCACTCCAAACACTAAAATTTATGAATATCCGTTATTATATAAATTTGTTAAAGAGCGAATTTACTTCATTATAATTCATCAGCAACAAGTAGAAGGACTCTTTAATAAATTAGATTTGAAAACTCACCCCAATATGACACCTGAGTTGAAACAATCAAAATTACGACTTTCATCCGGAAATATAAATGAAAATCATATTTCTCTAGGACTCTCAGATATTCGTATTAAACGCAAAACTCAATCACAAGAGAATCATATAGAAAATATAAAAAATTATGGATAAGAAGAAGCAACTAAAATGTTTTTAGACATATTTCAAAATTAGTGTTAGGAAAAAAAATCGATGTATTTTTTTTTTCAGTTATCGATAATAAATATAATAAAATCTAAATGACGTAGATCAGTTATACGTAAAAAAAATCTTGTATATCATTTTAATACATGACTATACATAAATTTGATTTACATAGTGCATCGAACACCCCAACGGTACGTACGTATGTATGTATCATGTGTTTTGTACATCAGCGCAAACTGTATTCTAATTGGCCAACACATTCACGTGACTGTGAAATTTTGTTGGCGCACCTGGGTAAGATAGTTTATGCTGCGTTGTGATTGGCTTGTTTAATTTTCGGTTAATATTAAGTGAGGGGGGATGACGTTAACCTAAAAATCAACTAAAAACAGCCATAAGAGACAAAACCACTACTATTAGTCCAGAATAAATAGTTAAACATATTCTAAAGATATAATTAGTTACTAAATAATAATCGCGCCAAAATTAAAATAATTTCGTATGTCCATCCGAATCTGTACTGACGTACAGTACTATTTATTGAACACCTACATAGTATAAGAAATATTAAAATAAAATTAAATAACTTGTATAAAACTTCTCTAAAATCAAAGATTATACCAAATATCTTGTTTTATTTAACTGTTTTTTTTTTTTGCATTTACTACTTATTAATAACTAGTATAACTAGAAATTTCTTATAACATTATAAAACACAATACCTTCGCTCTATTATTCTTTTACAAAATCTTTAACTTCGGTTTCTTGCTGCTTTTTACCACTTAAGTTGCGAAACTTTACGAAACTAGTCGTTTAACGCTCTATACATTTCTTAGCATCCGCCATTTGAATTAAAAGCTTAAGATAGTTGGATTCAAATGGATTCAACCGATATTTGCTATTTACTGTGCAAGGGCTTCAAGTTTACTTAATAACCTATTGGCGTCTAGGTTATTACGCAAGCGAGTAATACAAGATGTTCGAAGTACTATAAAACTATATAAAAATTTTTTTATAAATCTTGGTAACGTTAAACAACGTTTTACATAGGGACACTGCCCCTGCTGTAAAAAAAAACGAACCTCGTAAGTAATACAAGAAACGAGAATCAAAAATTACCTCGGGGTAATAACAAAAAATGTCAAGGAACTAATTTTACTATGATGTTACTCTTATCTTAACTAAAAAAAGACGAATTGCATTAAGACAGAATACGTTACACGATTAAATATGGTAATGAAGGGGTCAAATATTATAAATGGTACGTATTACGTTTAGTTTCATCACAAAACTCTTGTAATACATATGCACTTAAATATTTATCACAAAGAATTCATGATTCATAACCAAAGTCATGTCAACGAGAACATGTAAGCTATCAAACACTAACAATTATCGTACCGCAAATGATTAAAAGATCCCTTTTTAATAATAATCTATGTAAAATACCTGCAGCAAATCAAAGTTATATCAATTGTAAGCAGCTCTTTTCAAATAGAAAGGTGTGCTTGCATTTGAATTTTTTATTGTAAAGAGATTATGCTGTACCATTCATTAAATTCCTTAGATATTTTGTAATCAATCCGGTATTTTAATCAATGCACTACGATAATTTTAAATTATTTATATAGTTTATTGGTATGCTAAATGTTTATTACAACTTTAAATGTTAGTAATAGAATATTCACAAAAATTAGAGTTAAGTTTAAATTGCGATGTAAAAATTTCGAATATTCAGGATTCCAAATCCTCAATGTTATTGGGAGAGGGGGGTATGCTATAGTATATTCGGCCATATACGAAAAGCAAATATATGCAATAAAAAGCCTAAATAATAATCTGCAGTTTGACAATAAACTATTTAAAGCATTTAAACGTGAGGTATTGTGCATTATTCATATTTTTATTTGATTTCTTAATATTCTTCATATTTATTTAGCTATATGTATGTAGCTTAAAATTTTTTATACAGTCGATCATCCCAACATTATAAAATTCCATGGTATTTCGAGGGGTATAAATTTTAAAGCTTATATACTGTGCATTGAATGATATTGTTTCTAAATAATAGTCTTTAACTTTAGATGAAAATACGGACAATTTTATGTTGATCTTACAACTTGCAAATGGCGGTAACCTTCGACAACATTTAAAAAAAAAACAATATGAAGACGTTTATAAAATCATTTATAAAATATTATGGGATGAACTCATCCGGATTGCAATAGAGATTACACGTGGATTAAAACACTTGCATGACAACAATATAATTCATAGAGATCTAGTTAGTTTTTTTTTTTTTTTTTAATGTACAGTTCAGCATTCTAAATTCTGCATAAGCTTAATTATTTTAAATTTTTTACACAACTTTCAGCATTCTATGAATATTTTGATACACGAAGGCAGGGCTATGATTACAGATTTCGGTTTATCAAAACACTTAGATGGTCACTCTTCTACTTCAAGCACCAGTGTGAAAGGTATAGCAGCATATATTGAACCACAATATTTTATTCAGTTTGAGAAGGAAGTTAAACGCGATGAAAAGTCCGACATTTATAGCTTGGGCGTACTGCTTTGGGAACTTACAAGCGGAGTCCCACCATTTAATGGACTTGGCGCTTTTGCTATAGGTTCAAAAATAGCAAGTAACGAAAGAGAAAAAACTATTACTGATACACCTTTAGATTATATTAATCTCTTCGAAAAATGTTGGTCATCTGTACCAGATCAACGTCCGTTTTTGGACGACATTTTGCCTAAACTCGAGAGATTGTTAAGAGAAAAACCTATAAAATTTATTACAAACATTATTAGTGATAAAAAAATTACGGAGTCAAGATCTAAAACTTTGGAATACCCAAATTCTTCGAGTGATAGTGGCCGACAATACATGCACCACGAAAATGTTCCTTCATTATCTGAAAATGTAAATACTTCTACATACACAGGGGATTTGGTACTTTCGAATGATAACGAAAGTGTTCGTACATTATCTGAAGGTACCA